ATACTGGCTGGAGTACCCGTCCCCTGGACAGAAATTGTGTAAATTCATGATTAATGGAAGGTTATTTTAGGACATGAAAAGTTGCTTCCCTTGTACGTAATTGTAAAAACAATGCAAAAACACCCATAAAAACTGCAAAACACAAAATGTGAAACCGCAAATTTGCATGCATCTCTGCATGGACCCAACACACCTTCATGCTAAATTTGGTGAAGATCCATCAACAGAGGGCGAAGTTGTAGTAAAAAACGCAAAAACGACCATGCAAAATGCAAAACTGAAAATTTGTATGTATCTCCCCATGAACCCAACAAACCATGCTAAATTTGGTGTAGGTCCATCAACAAGGGGCGAAGTAACGGTAAAATACGCGAAAACGCCAATAAAAACCGCAAAATGCAAAGCTGAAAATTTTTATGTACCCTCGCATGGACATAATGAACCTCCATACTAATTTTGGTGAAGATCCATCCACACCCTGCGAAGTAGTTACATGGACATACAACGGACAGTACTATTATATTTACTAGTAGAAATACCCGCCCTCCGGGCAGGTATAACCACTAGTTTCTGCATAAGACTATTGGGCCTGCGGCCTTTTCTGGAATTCTGACAGTTCTACAACAATGTATTCATACTTGACATTCAATAATGTTCATCATCCATAAGAAAAAGGATTTTACTGAAATTTTAGTTTTAAAATGAGCTATCATCACAGCATTACATCTCAGAGCAGATTTTATTGTAGTATTTCTTTGTAGACGCAGTTATCAATGAAAGTGCCTCGCTTTTCTATTGCAACACCCATTAGATTTTCACTAAAAAAAACAAATACTTTTTTCAAGTTTGTTTTTTGATTATTTTATATTTATAACTTACTCCTTTTTTGTAATTTTTATTGGTTAAATCTGAGACTTACTCTTTTTTGTTTGTAATTTTTATCGTTTAAATCTGAAACATAATTTTTTGTGGAAATTTCAATTGGTTTATATATTGCTTAGCTATAAAAATACTGCCTAGTTATAAAAATACTATCCAGTTATGATTAGTGATGATCGGTGCGGTAGTTTCCGAGATTTGGACGTATACATCGCAAGCTTACATACATACACTGAGTGGTCACAAGTAAATAGACACCTAATATTTCGTCATTTAACTG